CTTTCTCTTTTAAATAAATAATAATATTAATCAACTGATAATACGATTTTAATATCTAAATATAACTTAAATTACTTATAAAAGATACGTATTAAACTTTTAATAGATGTTATTATTAGTGGGAGACGTAATTCTGATAATTAAACTATTTTATATATTATTTAATGGCTACATAGTGTATTATATTTAATAAACACCTAATATTATTTATTATCTATTATAATAAGACATCCTTAATCAACTTTTTCAATCATATTCTGATTTATGCATAAATGTTTCATTGTGAAAACTTTTTAATTTAAGTTGTAGTGTGTAAGTACATAAATTTAATTAATTGCAATAATAAGAAGAAATCTAAAGATGGTGGACAGAGTATTTTCAAATGGCGGCGTATTGACTTTATTTATGCTTTATTTAGATACTATACTTGATCTACTTGGTAGTGTAAACACTATTTGATTGTAAGTTTAAAGGCGACAGGCGGGTTAAAAGAGACTTGCGCAAAATAATCGCATTTTTACAGTTCGAAATAAAGAAAAAAGTAAAGACAAAACCATGCCAAAAATGCCTTTAAAGAATTTATTTACATTTTTCATAATTACAAATACATATTTTGATGAAATGTGTATAATAAAATGTTTAAACAAGAGAGACAAAAACTATTTTTACACTGAAGCGTAATCTCGACGCGCTCGCGCTAAATTTACCCACAATTCCGTACAGTCAACGTCAACATGGCGGACGAACTTGAAAGTGAGTTTTCTGATAATAAATAAAAATAATCGAGTGAATACCTATTCTCCATGTAATCAAATACTTAGAATAAAAAGTTCATTTAATCTATTACATCCAGAAAAGATCACTATTGTGGTTGCAAATAGGTTTAGGTACAACTTTATTTATAAAATTATGTGGGAAATGCAGGTTTAAATTTGAAAATGGTGCAGTTAAATTCAAATTCAAGTTTACATAAAAGCAGAATAGAAGCAATCGTGATAACAGTCAATAAATTGTTTTTCTGTGTTGTGCTAATAAATCAAAATAAGTTGTTGCATGTATTTAAAAGAGTAGTGTGAAGATTGTGTTGTATTTTTATGTTAATGAAAGTATGGTTATTTCAGATGAATCAGCTGCTGCTCTTTTGGAGTTCAAGAACGGTAAAAAGATGCAAAATAATGATATGAACATAAAACAGGAAATTATGGACGAGGACGAGGATAGTAACATGGAAATCGACGAAGATATTCCTAGGTTAGGTCCAGCAGCTCTTGGATTACAACGAGTAGGGACACCAGCAACCCCCAAGCCAGTCAATGTTACTCCTCCCCAAGTACTAAACGCCAGAGGGATGCCAGCACGAATTCGTAAAAAAAACAGACTCTATTATGATGATGACATTATCAATACACCACATCATAGGGTGCCATCAGCAAAAAAACAAATGCAGTCTCCAAATAAAAAAACAAAATTGTCGACGCCTTCTCGTGGTGTCAAAGACTCTCCAAAGGTGTCGCCTAGAAAATCAGCTCAAAAGGATCAAAAACCACCTAAAAGTGTATCACCTAGGCCTCAGTCTCCTGACAGAAAAATTGGTCAGAAGATTGGGTTACGGTTAAGAAACCTTCTTAAACTCCCCAAAGCACATAAATGGGTTTGTTTTGAGTGGTTTTACAGTAACATTGACAGATGTTTATTTGCTGGAGAGAACGATTTTAGTATCTGCTTGAAAGAATCGTTTCCTTACTTAAAAACTCGTATGCTTACAAGATGTGAATGGACAAAGATTCGTAGGATGATGGGAAAGCCACGTAGGTGTTCTCAAGCCTTTTTTAACGAAGAAAGACTTGAATTGGAGAAAAAAAGAAATAAAATACGTGCCCTTCAACAACGCAAAGCCACAGATCCTTCCAATTTTAAGGATTTACCTCCTGAGATACCCATGCAGCTTGTAATAGGTACCAAAGTTACAGCAAGGCTGAGAAAACCTCAAGATGGTCTCTTCACTGGCAGTATAGATGCAGTGGATACTTCAAACAATACGTATCGCATTACATTTGAAAGACAAGGTTTGGGAACCCATTCTGTACCTGATTATGAAGTTTTATCGAACGAGCCACCTGAAACCATGACAATTTCCATTTTTAACAACAATAAATACCGCCAAAGAAACGGCATTTCGACACATTCACCCCTTCCGTACTCAATAGCAGGCGATTTCTCACCGTACTTGCCCTCATCTCTTAAACATAAACGCGATCCTCTTTTGTCAGGTTCTAACATCAATAAACCACAAATTACTGCAATAACAGGGCAGATCGGGGGTTTCCCCGTTAAATTATTGGAGAAAATGGTTCTCGTAACTAAAATACTGAACGTTAAAAAGTCCAAGATTGGTACTTTGAAAAACATGAATAAAGAAGCGGAGAAATTCAGTCCATACGAAAAGGAAATCCCCGAAGACTTCGAAAAAAGGTACGCAGGGATTCTAATCGATCTGGAAAAGTTAAACAACGACCTGGAAACCTATCTGAACGAGATCCAGGAGCATTGTCAAGAAATTGCTCCTGAACCAAGTGTGGCTGCCATGTTAGCACCCAGTCATCTTAGAGAAAAATGTAAAGAGGAAGCCAACGATATCGTACAAAGGAACAACAGTGCAATGGCCGCTGAAAAAAGTCCTGTAACGAACGAATCAATTCTTGAACTTATTCGAGACCTAACGGCGCTTATGTTGCAAGTTAAAAGTTTGGCGGATTCTGACCAAAATGCTTACGAATTACAAGTTCTCCAAGGAACCATGGAAATAATCAAAAGAAAATTGAGTCCATCGAACCAAATGGCTTTCCAGAATCATGTGGAAGTCCATATGAAACACATTCAGTTGGGTTTGGGACAGGCATCGAATAAATCGTTGACGCCCACCCTTACTAAATAGTATTTAAATATTATATTATTATATCGCCTTTTGTTGTACATACCGTTGTAATTATGTATATGTTTTAGCATAAAGGATAGATGTTACGATACTTTAGGTAGTGCAATACTTTTTAGCAAACTATTTTAACAATCTTATGTAAATGTTTGATAATTTTATTTTTTTTTTCTTTTTGTCACATAATTACACAAAATGAATAATGGACTTTTACAGTGCGAACAAAACAATTTATTACCATTATCATGTATTATCAATGTGTGTAAATAATGTTTTTATCAATTATAAAAAAGGGTTCATATTTTCTATAGACGATTTTGCGAGTTTAAAATGAATCATTTCCTCCAATCATTCGATTGATTCACTTTCAACAGCAGCTGTTTTTATTTTTCATAATTAAATAAAAATTGATTTAAACTGAAATGATTAGTTTATATATTATAAAATCCTTTAATTTTCCTGACCTGAACGCAATATAAATAAACAGACAATTTTATTTGCAGTAACTTAAAACAGTTTCATTATTAAAAAATATAGTACTAATTAGCCCTTGCGCACTAAACTATTTATTCGATCGTATTCAGTTTTTTAATTTACTTTTATATCAAATATTTAAAACAAAGTTTGTTGAACAATTTAGTAGCAGTTATTTCTTATTTATTTAACAAACAAATATATTTTGTTTTGTTTAAAATTCATTGGTTTTTCATTTTATTACTTTTCTTAAAATCGTCAATAAAACGAACTTTATAAACAAAAGCTACCAAAAATTATTATCTTTTTAATAACAATTGAATATAAGCACCTTATTTTGTTGTTTTTTTAACTAAATCTTTAAGTTAAAATAAAGCGAATTATTACAAATTTGAATTTCTTTATGTTTTCCAGGTGGAGATCTGATTGGTGCTTTAAACAATGACTTCACTTCCGTTTCTGGATTCCATTATGGTAAAACGTTCGGGCAAGTCTAAACATGTAAAAAAACAGGTACTTTTACGGAAAACAACTTTAAGTGATTTTGTGTTCATCAAAGTGTTTAATAACTATATTACATTAAGTGTATGTGTAGTTATATTTGGGTATGCTGAGAATTAATCCGTTCTTCAAACAAACTCCGACATACAGAAAAGGTAATACTTTAATCAATGCTGTTTTTATACTTTTTAAACTTTTTTGGTAGACAGATAAAGATCAATTTTTGTATATCTTGTTTCCAAAAGGTCTGGCGATGATACTAATCGAGGTATATTCTTAACTTCTTAAACATTTCTGTATTGGTACATAAAATTGTGACGTTATTACCTAAACACTGGAACGCGAAATTTTGCAAATGTAAAGTTTGTTTTAATGTTAAAATTGTGAAAAGTTAAAATGCTTTGCGCTCAGTAAGTCTGTAGGAGGTGCATTTTCATGTAGCGATAATGGGGTATTGCCTTTCTAAAGTTCTAAGCGAGAAAATAAGCTAACGAGTTATTGTTGGTTATTGTTTTTAAAATTCTAAAAACTAAGTATACCTATACCTAGTATACCACTTCGATTGAACTTTAACATGGAATTTAAAATGTTTCTATAAAAGACTAGGCAAAAAAAATTTTATTGAGTATGTAAAACTAAAATTAACAACCAACAGGTGACACTATCAAACTGTATTACAGTTTTATATATTATTTCTTGTATTTTTCCAATTGTTGTAATAAGTTGTCGGCTTCTTCTGGGGATTTGACTCTTAGTAGGATAGGAATTGGCGGAGGTTTAGAGTCAGGAGTTGGTAGTGCCACACCCATCACATCTTTCTTCCCCATTCGTTGGAACGGAATATTCTCAGAGAGAATAAAATTGAGCAATACATTTCCCAAGTTAGTATCTGCACGTACAACCAGTTGAGTTTTATTAGATTCTGATATTGGCTTTAAAAATAAATTTCCCACCCCTCTGTCAGCAAAAGAGTCTCCTTTTTTCACAAACACTTTGCATCTTATTGTGTAGACATGTCCTTCTTCTATCACTGGTTTGAAGTCGTTTTTGGGAGGTTGATCAGTTTCAGTTTCCTCTTCAGCAACTTTCACTTCTTTACTATTGCTACTGTTTGTTGTTTCTGTACTTTGGACATTGGCAAATGTGAAAGGGGTTGAATTTGTAAATGAGAAACCAGATGATGATGATGACTTAGGTATACCGAAGGAAACAGAAGGGGTACTTTGAGTATTGTTTATACCAAAGGAAAATGCTTGAGAGGCAGTTGCAGTTGTTGGACTTGTTCCACTTTGTGCATTAGGATAACCAAATGAAAATCCAGTTTTATCAGGTGTTTTCTTCAAATTTGAAGACCCTGATTGCTGGCTCTCAGTGGCAGACTTTGAAGGGGTTGAGTTACTACTCTTTGTAGAGTCAGTCTGAGGAGTAGATGTAGGGGTGGGTTTAAAACTAAATCCCCCTAAATCTGTCTTGGTCTTCTCTGTTAAATGTATGCTTTCCTCTGATTTGTTTAGTTGTAAAGTGTTATTTTCATTGCTACTAGGTTTTAATTTTTCAATATTCTCTAAATACTGTTCGTAGTCTTTAAAAATTGGTGTTAAGTTCAAAAACGGATTTGCATCTACATGCTCCTTTATCCATTTAGTAACACTTTCGTTAAGACCTTTTAATTTAGCATAATATTCATTAGAATCACTTGAACTCGTTACTTGATTAGAACTAGCACTATTTGCTTTCTTTTCGTCTTCTTTATTCATATTTGTAAGGAAACTAAAAGTCGGCTTGGCGGCTTCTGTGTTTGACTTTCCAAATGTAAAATTATTGAACGTGTTTTTCTTATCGGGCTCGGACTACAACAAACATCGAGTTGAAAAATGCACTAATTATATAGAAAAATCACTTACTCCTGCCAAAGAACCAATTGGATTCCGGCGTTTTGCCACTTTGATAACTCTATTTTTGATAACCTCTTCAGGAGCTCTTTTGAATTCTTCTGCTTGCTCTGGTTCCTCGTCATCTTCCAAATTGTAAATATCTAACTGGGTTGTTGCTGTACGTTTTCCTGCCATTTACTATTTTTTAAAAAACTCACCACTGTAATAATTAATAAGTAAATTTAATTGACAAAGTAAAATAAGGTTAGATAATTTTGACGTCAAATAGCGGCATATATACAGGGTGATTTCATAAAATCAATTTTAATGAGATCCCTTTATACCTTCTTGTAAATATACTATTTGCAGACAGGAAAAGCCTTTCTGAATAAAAGAAATATCTTATTTGTTTACTTGGAAGAGCTTTAATTTTTAGAATAAATCAACTTTTAATGATTTTATTAATAAAAAGCATACTTTTATCAGCATATTTTAAAAATTTGTTTTAAATTAAGAAATAACATTTAAAGGACATAGAAGCAATAATTGCAGAGAAAATAAAAACAAATTTATTAACAGTCACATTAGAACTCGAATTACACAAATCACCTTTACAAAAGCACATGTACACTTTTCTGGATTTGAATTTTGTGTAAGCACACCTGTCTTCACTGTCAGAAGGTCCTCTTTGGAAACAATTTCTCTGATGTACGACACCGTATTCTATAAAAAAATAATTATATACACTCGTGTGTGACACATTGTACCTACATTAATCGAAGCTTTTTACAATTATTACGTGAAATAAATTAACAAGTATCACTCTGTCGAAAGTAATTAAAAACAAAAAGTCTTATTTGTTTTACTTGCCTTCTTTTACATCGTTTTCTGCTTCTATCATTTTACCACACCATCCTGATGCACAGGGTATTAGTTCTATACCCCTTTCTTGTTCAGCCTGTGTTGCATTAAATAAGAATGGATCTTTACAACTACCCAGTTCACCCCTCGAACGACAAGCATAACATCTGTTTAAAGCTACAAAACGTAAATAAAATAATGTTTTATTCGTTTGTTTTTCTCGAATATTATAAATACAGTACAGCGGAGATTTTAATGAGCAGTCAGACAACGAACCCTACCTATCTTTTGTTAAAAATTTAATTGAAATACTTACCAAAAGCAGCATCAATACAAATCAATACGACAAATATAAGCGATATTTGTACAAATTTTAAATTATCCATTGTTTTTTAAAGGTATAAACAAATAATATTACTGTTAAATGACATATTAACGAAAAACTACAGCTGGCTTTATTAGTTGACTCTTCTCCTAACAAGAAGGTTGACTCACGATCAGTATACTTTCTCTTNAACAAATACAATCCATAATTACAGAGTACCTACATAAATAAAAATAAATAATTGGTACTACATAAATCTAATTAATCACAAGTTTATTACTATTTTTTTATGGTAAAGGAATGTTTTGTAGACTGCATCTGTAATAATAAAGAACAATCTGATCTGTCAATAATTACCGCCCTAAAAATCTACAGAGTATTTTCTAATAATTATCAAAAAATAACACTTAAATTCTACGAGCTCCCTAAAGATATTCTTGTTATTATTATACAAATCCTGATTGTCAAATAATTAAACAAACAATATATTTATTATGTATACATACTACAACAACAACGGGATGTAACAGCATTACATTTGTCAAACTTGTAAAAAAAACTCATTTCTTCCCCAGTATGATAACCGAACGCTAAAAGATATCCAAATGACAAACAAATTGTTACTCATAATCGTTAACGTAAATACTCTTGTCTACCGTCACTTAACATTGTGGAATATTGAAAAAGGACAATAGGATAACTTAAATATTTTTTCCTAACGTAGACTTATTTTTTACAGGTCATACAAATGTGAGTATACTTTTGTACTCGAGCAATTCGTCAATTCCCTAATATTTTATAAATAGATTGTATACAAATTTTCATTTAACAAAATAAAACTCCTAACAATTCAAATTGGACGGAATAGTTTTAGCACAACATGGTATATCATATATAGTTGCTTAATAACAACATTTATCTGGTCTAGGCACTTGTACACATTTTCAAAAATTCAGTAAAGGCACAATTACCCACTGGAATTACTGGAAGATTTTTTTAATATCAGATTTTACATGAGCAATTAATATCGGTACCCTTAATTAATAAAACAAATTTTAAAAAATTAGAATGAAATTACACACGATATTTTTTGTTATATAATAAAATGAACATTTTGGAATGTATTAATCACATTTTTAAAAAGGAAAATAGTACGATTAAGTTTTCTATATAAACGCTCACGCAATCTAAAATATCTATCTTAAAATTTAAATATATATAACATTAACCCGCAAGTGATATAAAATATTCGTTTTTAGTTATTGCTTAAGTTCATCGATAAATTTATAAGAAAATATATCGATCAGTTAATAATTTTTCGATCGAATTGAAAGTTCAGTTACAATGTAACACTTTTTAGTGAGTGCAAAATTGTAACATTAAATTGTAAGTAAACCAAACTAAATATACTGCCCATTGCCTCCTTATGAATTGAACCTCTATCAAAAAATAACATTCTCAAGAGTTGTTACTGAACCGTCTAATTTCTTTTGCATTTTCTTCTTCTTTTTGTAAAATTTAATTGCTATTGGTGACTTTTGCTCAACAGGTGCGAATTAAATTCGTACACATTGCAGCACTGTTCCCCGCAGATGTTGCACTTCCAAGGGTTGGCATCTGAATGGCAACCCTTATGAAGGAAATACAACGTCTGATCGGGGAATCCTATACCACAGAACACGCACTGTAAATTTGACAATGATCTTTTACCATTAATCCTCCACATGGATGAATCTGAAGGTTGTTCGGGGCCGGTTGACGTAATAGTCCCGTTGGTGGTTGTGCCAGGATCATTGGATGAATTTTCTGAATTTGGATTGGGTGATCTTCCTCTAGAACCACTTCTACTACCAATTTTTCTTTTCAAGTCTTCCCTGAGCAAACTTTTTAGGGGTGAAACTTTTATTAACGAACTAAGACTGGTAGAAGTGGCTGATTGCATGGTAACAGCTCCTGAAGAAGAAGTCGAATTGGCATTGTCATTTCTTTTACCAATGTCATAAGTTTCCTCATTTGGTTCCTGTTTAATAGGAATAAGTGAAATAGAAGGGGTTATACTGGTCTCTTGGTCGATTCTTAGGGAACTTGATTGTATGTGACTGCTCGATGGAGCATTTGAATTAGAATCGGCTGATTGGGGAGATGCAGGGCAGTCGCCGTTCATATGTTGTCCAGATTCGGTACTTTGGCCTGGTTGAGAGTGCTGATTTTCACTCTAATAAACAGAACTCTTAACAATGTACAAATTATTTAATTCAAATGTTCAATTACCAATGTTGGTGAGAAAACATGTGCGGGAGCGTCGGTCATCGAAATTTCCACATGCGGAGTCAAAAAATGCATAGGGGGTGTGGCGTTATCAGTACTACGGGCACCCGTGGAATCACCAGAGTCACTATAATTAGCAACACTGACAGATAAACCGCTAGAGAGGTTTCCTAAAGACGTTAGAGTGCTACCGTCGATAGAATAACCTTGTTGAGCCGCGGAAACCAACAACGATGCCGAAGAGCCTGCTGGTCCGGGGTTATCCAAGTCGATACCGTGTCTTAAAAAATATAATTGATTCATTAAATTCAAATAATCGTAAGTCATACCATTATAAAAACATCAAAACCAATACTAACAAATCAAACAACAAATAGAAAGAAAAACTCATGCAAAAGAAAAAATATTTTGATGATTTAGTTAAGGCTTCTGTTGCCATTATTTGACAATGAAGTGGTTCTGAGTGTCATTTTGAAGACTTATGGTTCCTTGATGTTTCACTAAGCATACAGTTCTTACGAAGTTCTTTTACTGAATTTAAAGGAACTTTTGTTGACTAACTAATTGTCACAAAATTATACTCTTTCAATGCGAGGAAGGAGTGCAAAAACTTCAGCAAAAACATTTCACTGTCAAAATGTTTGTTTGGTCACTTTTAGTCATTTTTGTTTTGAAATTTTTAATTAAGTACTACTGTTATAAAATCCTTGACCTTGAATTAGACCTTGTACTATTACACAAAAATCTATGTGAGGTTGTACATTGTTTGTTACAGCATTTCCATTTTCTTTTTTCTCTTTAAGCTTGTATTCAGTTTTTTCTTCTATATCTCCAAATTATCGAAACCTAAATACTAGAAAACAAAATGTGAATACCTGTTAAGAAAATGCATCCGCAAGCTTTTCATACTGCATGCTCTGAAGCTACACACAGGGCAAGACTTAATAAGATCATGCTGACCTACATGTTCATTCTGAAAATGAGCTCGCATCGCGATTTGTCGTTGGAAGCCCCGGTCACAGATAGGACAATGATATGGTAACGTTTTCGTATGTGTTGTAAAGTGTTCTGCCAAATGATCTTTCCTAAAGAATCTTTTTTGACAAACCCGACATTCGTAGGGTTTCACGCCTGTATGCCTCATCTTGTGTCTTCGCATATTAGCGCCATTTGAGAATTTCATGTTACAGACATCACATTCAAACATTTTCCTCAGCACTCTGTCAGGCGGGGGGTTGTTGTTTTCGGTTTCCATTTTGACTTCGTTTCCTCCTACGTCTCTCTTGTGGGCCTTATTTGTGTGTGCTGTCAAAGAAGTTTTGTTTGCAGTCTCAAAATCACAATTATTAAATTTAAAATTTGTATCACTCGAATCATAGTTTGAATTTGAACCTGTCACTTTTTCTGCATCATTTGCTTCTGAGTCTTCTTCCTGTTGAGAAGCTGCAGATGTTGGTGTCGCTGAGATTCCTGAATCTGCCTCATTTTCAATGGTTGCATTAGCCATAATCAACTTATTTTAGAATTAATTTCTATTGTCTTTCCTTCCATTAAAATTTCTGGAACAAATTGTCAACTAGGTATATTCCAGTTCAAATAATATTGTTATCTATTAATATATAATAATATTAAATTTCAATTACCTACAGCTACATTTGCATGCCAATGTTTACATATTTGCAACATAATACCATAATATACCCACTGCATTTGTATATACATATTATTTTCATGTTGACATATTTTTAGGCAAAGAAAAATTGAATTAATACATTTTAAAGTGTGTCAAATCTACTTATCTTGTTAGATATCTATTTATAAAAAGAGTATAACAATTAATACCAATAATAGTTTAATAGCTGTAAGCTATAACATGTCATTCATTTTAAATTAATAATACCAATTTCGTGGAAATTGAATAGGTACAGAAGTAAAATAGGTAAATGAAATGTATTACCTCCATTTAATGTAATGGTAATAGTTCGGAATGAGGCAAGTGTTCGTTTTACTTAAAAAGGTACGGCATTATAAGTGTGTACTCCACATTCTCAAAATTCGACCTATTTTTAAAATACCGTACTTTCGAAATACATGGTGTTGTCTATTACATCACAGCCGCGTTAAATACATACACACAGGTAAATGACACTAACTTGCCTATTTTAAAATGCAATTAAATCATTACTTTCCATTAAAATCATCCCCTGTCATAAATCTCTACTCAAATTAAATACAGACGTTAAAATGGAGGGTATTGGCACATTGTCCTATAAAATGTTGGTTCACGCTTCACGCACTGAATAAACTGTGAACACACACATAACCTTTACACTATTTTACATCCGTTTATCGCTGATATTTTTGGTGATATTACATTTTAAAGCCCAAAATATTCCATTAATTACTTACTTTTCAAATATCAAAATAACACCTGTGGTCTTTTGCCACTTCTCACCAACTTGTCCAGATCCAGGTTTGACCTGCTGTAGGCTGTAGATTGTAAAAGTGGGAATGTATGGAAGACTAGATAGAGATTGGGACGGGTATTTACAGTTAACAGGACTTTCTTGACCAATTTCGACATACTGGTAGCACATCTTTATGTAGCACACTATCTGTCCTCTTTTTAATATTCTTATACTACAATTTAATTTTTGCGATAAGAAATGAAAAATAAAATAAAATAATTAAAATGGTAAAAATAAAGTAACTATTTATCTATTTGCACAGCAGATAATTTAAAAAATTTATCTATTAAAGCGGTACAAACTAATTAAAACAACTACTTATTTTACTACATATTTTTAAAGAACATTAGTATGACTGTAAATCAAACCCTCTCTTTTAAAGACGAAAGTAATTTTGCCCTAATTTTTTAACATTACTTTAAATTATGTTAATAAATTATCGGTTAAAATATAGAAAAAAAGTTAATGTTGTTATCTGTCGAAAAACTCCATTGAAAAAATGATATTTTTGATTTGTAAATTATTTAATAACCCTTATATGTAAATAACAGGTGGTGTTAAAGTACAGTCAAGCAATGTGTGTTGCCTAAGAAAACCTCTATATCAAATAATTATATTTTTCGTTTCCTAGAAAAAAAGTATTTTAATTTTTAATAAAAGCTTTTTTCTTAGTTTAATTTGGAAAAACTTACAGGACATATCTATTTACATTCCTTAGTTACTTTTCTATAAAATTATTTTAATTGCATAGTAAAATAGAAATTAAATATTAATTATTAGCTTTANTACTAGGTTTTACCAGCTTCATATGAAGAAGATAAAGCATAAACATTTTTTTTTTTTAATTTATTGGAACTCCCAGGCGCCGCGCAATTTTTCTGAAAACTTTCATCTTTTGTATATTAACTTACTGAAATTTACAAGGGTATAAATTTTGTAAGTTTGTTTTCGTTCTTGAATGTGAAGCCAACACAAATATTGACATTAAAATCATAGTTTCAACAGGCAAATTACCTTAGCCCAGGTGTAGCTTTTCTTTCGTCAACCAAGTATGTAATTTGGGATTTTACACTTTTGTATTTTGAACCTCATACGTCGTCGATCCTAGTTGTAAGCCTTATTAGAACTGACACACATTTCCGCCCTTAAAAGAAATCACTTCCTTTCATTTTTTTAATGTTAGATACAGGAATATATATATAAATATACTTGATATGATATTGTTTTTCTAGATTAGATTTTGAATGGGCTATTTTTCTTGATGGTTTTGCCTTAACAGTTAAAGTTCATTAGGCATAAGTTTTAAAGCTAGCCGAATTAATAAACCACAAATCAATAATTGATGACTATGCCTTGCATTTAATTCGTATGATAGGTATCGGTAATCGTTAAAAAAAAATTATTTAACTATCTGTAAAGGATAACATTAAACTTGGGATTAGTTAATTTTTATAAATTATACTTTTTAATCCTGACTATTCGTAATTTTTTCCGCTCTACCCTCCGGCTTTGCATTACAATATAAGTCTACAAGTCAATAAGACTACCCGTCTGACGGCATTAGTAGTTTGGCCTGAAACAAAACAGGTGGCAAGCAAAACCACACTATGTCTTCAGGTAATAAGTTTCTTCTCTGTTGCTAATTTCATATTTTTGTGGTTTTTCAAGGACGGCCCTGAACACAACATCCGATTAACATTATTTGTCTCGCCTCAGAGTCTGTTAGGTCGTCTTGAATTCCTTTTTTTCCCCGTAGGCTCCTTCAAGTGCATTCTATTTTTGGATGGGTTGAACTTAAATTGCATTGCTGCCCACACTTGTCTTAATTTGTTAAAGCTATTCGCAGTTTCATTCATATTTCAGTTCACCATTCGCGACTTGCTGGCAAAGTTGCAGCCGATGTACGATCTTCTAGTTAATAAATCCCTCTTGACATGTTGTAATTTGAACTGAAAATAATCTACACACTTCGAAATGCTTCCAAACTGTTTTAATTTAATTAGATACTGTACGATAATATTTAGTCAGTTAATCGAAGAATCATTAACTACTAATTGATTATAAATAATATGGAGTTACATTACTTGAAAGCTTCATCGATTCAAATTTTACTGATTGATTAACTAAATCCTATTTGTTTTTGAAAATTAGAAGAGAAAGATATTTAAAGGTCTTATGTGGCGACAAGCTTATGTTTTTAAAAATGTAAAATTAAATTAAAAAGTACTAAAAAAATTATATCCCTTAGTATATTTTCCCTTTGTGCAAGTTTCACTTATACGTTCTTACAACTAATATTTTTTTTACGTTTTTTTAGGCCAGAAAAATAAAATGGCGTTTGATTTTGTTGTTGTGGTGTGTTATATTGGTCGTAAATTTAATACGACGGTAACATATAAATAAAAAAAAAAACAAAAAATACCATGTATTTAGTTTATTAGCAGATTATATTGTTTCTGTCACCGTTGATTCCAAAAATAATTTATTTCCCGATGAGCTACAGAAAAACTACGTTTTTGGCTCAAGTTCCTGTTTTTATTGTAAATTTTTAACAAGTGTCGACTGTATTTTTAGAAACAACAATAACAAACTTAATAACGCACGTTTTTACTACGAGCAGAAGCGTGCCTTTGAAATTTAAAAATACCTATCATTGTGACACTCCATTTCATAATTTAGCTTTGCTAATGCAAAAAAATCGTTTTGATTTTCTTATTATAGTGGACATTTTACCTTATTATATTCAAAAATAATCTCATTATATTGAGAAAAAAATTCATCATAACGAGAAAGTCTTTTATAACGAGAAGTTGGATGCAGCATCCGTTCGTAATAAAAATTTACGTGAACTAATTCAGCAATCGGAATTCGGAATTGATCTACGTGATTCCTCACTTCGTTCGTGATGTCTTTTCCTACTGTAACCGTATGATCTTAAGTAATCACATAAAAGCATTCTTCGGTAAGTCACACTCGGTTAAATTAGGCTACGATAGGAAAAGACAACACCAACTAAAAATAAATGAGTGTTGTCATTGCCGTGTGATTTCTATTTGTTTACAGCAATGTGAACCCAAAAATGTACAGAAATTATGTAAATCAGTTGCGAATTCCGATTGTTGAATTAATTCAAGCAAAGTTTTAAAGAGACTCAATATTATGTATAATACTTACGAGCGGATGCTGCAACTTCTTGGTATAATGAGATTTTTCTCGATATAATGAGATTTCTCTAAGTATAATAAGAGTATTTCTCAATGTAATGTGTTTTCTCATCATAATGAGATTTTACTCAATACGTGTTTTCTCATTATAATGAGATTTTTCTCAAAATGATGATATTTTTCTCTATATAATGAAATTTTTCTCAAAACAATAAGATATTTCTCAATACAATTTGATTTGAGTTGACTTGACTTCACTCCAAGACATTTCCATGTAACTTTTATAAACTTACTAGGTTTTACCAGCGGCTTCGTTCGCATTCATGTCCTGAATACGTATCAAAGATCATTGATTATCACATAAAACTAATTTTTCTGTCCCTCGGGAACAGTATTGTTTTTCTGGATAAAAGATACCCTATGTAATTGTCGGTACCCCTGACAATGCGTGTGCAAAATTTATTAATGATCAGTTGAGTAATTAAGACGTGAAATGGTAGCAAACAAACAAACAAACAAAACAAATTCACATTCGCATTATTACATAAGTTAGGATTATTTTTTAAGTGAAATTTTTGTAAAAAGTGAAGGATTTTGATATTTCTGAAATGAAATGAAGGTACCTCACATATTCTAAAGTGTTTTCATTGGTAGCATTAGTATTAGCTAATTTCACACATACATCTAGTTATTTAATCCTGCTGAAATGATTTACTTACTTTCCTTAATTTTTACTTTGCGAACGCGTTTTAAATCAGTAGCTTTAGCATTTTTCTTCGCTGTGCCAATGAACTCCTCGCGTGTTTACGAAATGTTCAAAATTAAATATTTAATTTTTTGGCTGCTCGTAAGCGGGACACCCACTCTTTGCGGAAGTGTATGCTAAAACTTCAAATGTAAAAGACTTCGTTAACAGAAACCAGAAACTGATTTATATACCTTACTTTATAGCTATTTCAGACTTTAAATGTGTCATTTTTATGAACTAGTTGTCTACACTAGATTTCCAATTTATTAAAAGTTCTTTGTTATACCTACACACCTTCACTAAACATTTCAAAATATATCAAAAGCGAAGGTAATTTACTACCTAGCATAAAAGTTGTAAAAAATATCGCTCTGCTTACTACGTGACGCTTTCACGTTTTTTTCTATTCTCAAATTAGGCCAATTTATTCTAAAATATGTTCGGTTCTCACACACAAAGTGGAAAATCCTGTAAACCAGATTGACAAACCATGTTCTTTGTGAACTTACAGACTTACTTTTATAACAAATTGTATTTTAAAAAGCTTTTCAAATTATCACCTACCTTCTTGAGCTTGATCTGTAAGTTCGTAGATTAAATCTCCCTTACACCCCAAACATTGATATAATCGTATATTTTGTAAATAATAATACAGGATGAGCTGTAATAATTTAATTTATAATTACAACAATATTAACATAGTAATTGTACTTGCAATATTACCAGGTGTCAATTTATAAATATATACAAAAACTTCCGGATAGCATCCGACATACATACTTACAAAACCAACAAAGTTGGCTACCTATACTTACAGACATATATATACACAAAGCCTTTAGGGTTGTGGGTACAACAACATTATGAATTTGGTGCAAAAAAATACGTTAGACGTTAGACGTTTTTAAGAATAAGAAAGAAAATTCCTAAAAGAGATAAACGTGTGCGAACACTGACTACAAAAATTACATTCCTGAGTAACTATAATTTTTTTACTTTCATAAAAAAAACAAGTTACTTTTGTGAACCCATTAGAGCAAACATATTTAACAATTTTGCCCTCTACGTAAGGAACATTTGTAAAATAATATTCATAACAACGAAACAGATTGTTAAAAGTTATAGGGAGATGTATGGAAGTAAATTAAGAAGTAAAAAGAGAGATATAATGATAGGACAGACTTTGAGGCATGAAGGGTTGGTTAGAGTTATATTATAAGCAGGAAGAGGAGTAAAAGGGGGATGGAGGTAGACCTAGATTACGTGAGGTCTAATCAGTCTTCGAGCTGAGACCTTATAGTGGTGATTATAATTCAAGTATATCGCGGTTGAGATATCAAGGTGCTTGTAAATGTGTTGGTTGATTTATGCCTATGTACAAAGATTTTCTCTTTTCGACCACATCAGTATGCGCCACTGTCAGAAAAAATCTGAATCCCCTCTTACTAAACGTATTGTGCAATACTTGAATGTCCCCCCGTCGTATTTTTCACATTTAAAATTGATTCCAGAAACCATTTCTTTTAACACCGTTAAGTGATAATTCTTCAGGTGCCTGTATAAATATCCTACAGTCAAAGTAAAAAACTGCATTTAATAATGACATGTATTGAGAGGGTTGTTTCTCGGCTGCTTCCGCCTTATGTCTTTCCGCCAGGATTAGCCTCCTCGATGTACACGTTTCCCTTCTTGTCGGAGATGATCTTGGTGTCCTTCCGTACTGAAACAGGAAACATCTACCATCAGTCAAACGAAAATAACATCCATATACAAACATGCACGCCATTGCACTACCTATGTATAATGTTTTCATGTGTGTGCGTGTCTTTCACTTTTTTTTTATGGAACTTCCCGTCAAGGTTCGATTATAACGAGATGGGTGATGAGTTTATTTGCGGTTATTTTAATATTTCCTAGAATTTACTGTCCGATAAGTAAGGCATAAAGAAGTCCTGACATATGCGAAAATGGTCCATTTCTTTGTAATGCGAAACAAAAATAACTCCATCAAGAAACGCTGCTAGTGGGTTAAGCAGAAAGGACCCTGTAGATAACCCTTAAACCGGCTGACATTACAGTACAAAAGATTATAATAATATCAAGGGGTTTCGCACCCTGTAAATAACCCTTAGGCTCGCTGACAAAGTATCTCAAAGGCATAGTTCCACTCTACATGACTCTTAGAGCTTAGATACAAAAAATACTCGTACAGTTAGAATACAAAATATTATTGTGGGGCAAGAAAAACTTCCTCTGAAAAGTAGTAATTTAATAACATAATAACGAAGGGTTTCCGCACCCTGTAAATAACCCTTGGACCCGCTGACAAATTTTCTCAAAGGCATAGTTCCACTTTACATGACTCTTAGAGCGTAGATACAGAACATTATTGTGAGATAACAAAAGCTTCTACTAAAAAATAGCATGTTATTATTGGAGGGGCTTCGTACCCTAAAAACAACCCTCAGAGACCTGTTGACAAATAATTTCATCGGTATTATCCTACTTAAAATACTTCTTAGAGTTTTAAATACAAAAAATAATTGTGAGACAAGAACAACTTCCCCAGGAAAATAATAGTTCTCTGACTAGTCCTTCATGCCTGAGAAGATATCCTACCAACCCACCTCGCCTATCTCTTACCAAATATATCGGTAATTTAATAATTAGGACTAACATAATGGAAATTTGTTTCTAATAAGCGAAAGCTTAGTTTGTTCACACTATCGGGGGTCTACTGTATTTCTAAAGTTGCTATAGCATCCAACATAAAATTCGAAATGAAAATTAAATATGTAAACATGTACATCGAAATTTTCCCACCACGTAACTAATCTTTACACAAAGCTCTGCCACTAGGTCACACCATACCAAAGAAACACCAACGGGAACTATTTTATATATTTTGAATGCAAATGTCTCAACTTAGTTGTACAAGTAGTTTTGTTACTGAGGTAGTCGTACATATGTTTAGTTTTCCTTTCAAGAAAAGTCCCTATGTGGTGTAGTGATTCGTTTATTAAATTTTTTAATGCCTTTTAGAACTTTTAAATCGCATCTACTTTCAGCTTATTTTAATGTTATTCATACTATGGATCATTACACATATACATATAACATGGTATTGATTTTTCTTTGCTAAAACGCATTTCCAAGAAGAACTCGAGAAAAACATGCCATTAGATTTAAATTGCATCTTACTACTTTTCAGATGAAAACAACGTATAAACGTCTGTCTATGTATTTGTTTGTCTATGTTGAATAGTTTTGGTTACGACTTCTCAACGTTTTTCGTTTAATTAATTTGCATACAAATAGAAACTCTATTAGACGACACGACATTGGAAAAACATTCTAAAAGGAGTCAAAATTGTAAAAATGTTACACAATTATTATATTTATTGTTTTAAAAATCGTTCAAATCAGTAATTGAAAAGCTCTAAAGTCAAAAAATATATTAAATATTAATGTGAAAATTCATTTTTAATTTTTATTCAGCATAAATTATCTCAAGTTAAGGAGGAAAATTGTCGCTGTTGTCACACCCTTGCCGGGAAACGAACCCTAGGATCTTTGGTTTTAAGCACCAATGCTCTGCAGAGGGTTCGATTCCCGGCGAGGGTATGACAACAGCAACAATTTTTTTCATTAATTTTGTGTAATTTATAATGGGTAAACATTAAATATATTAACCACGGTTGACTTTCAAAGTGTTTCATATACGAGGGTGGATTGATAAGTTTCCGGCCTAACCAAGAGATGACGCCACTAGGCCTACCTTGAGGTGACATTCTATAGTACCATCCTTGGATAGCTTGTAGCTATAGTTTCAGCCCGATCTCCTTGCTAGTGTAGGTTTGACAGCACGCTGAACAAGACGCCTCTGTGGTTTTCGTAAAAATGGAAAAGCAGGAAAATCGTGCTGTCATCAAATACTTTTATTTTAAGGGGTTAACGCCGAAGGAAATTAAAAAAGAGATGGACTCAACACTGGGGACATCCTCCCCGTCATATTCAACCGTTAAGCAGTGGGTTTCCGAGTTTAAAAAGGGTCGTGTGAGCACCTCTGATGGGCCTCGCTCAGGACGCCCCGTTGAGGTCACAACTCCAGATATGATCGAAAAAATTCATCAAATAGTGCTGGGAGACCGCAGATTGAAAGTGCGTGAAATAGCTAGACTTGTAAGATGTCATATGAACGTGTGCAACATATTTTGCACCAACATTTGCATATGGAAAAGCTCTGTGCAAGATGGGTGCCGCGTTTGCTAACAGTCGACCAAAAATTGATTCGAAAAAACATTTCTACCGCAAATTTGTCATTGTATAAGCGTAATCCAAGCGAATTTTTGCGTCGATTCGTAACCGTTGACGAAACGTGGGTCCACCACTACACTCCTGAAACCAAAGAACAGTCTAAACAGTGGATTGGACCAGGGGAACCAACTCCAAAGAAGGCAAAAACAATTTTTTCGGCGAACAAGGTTATGGCTACTGTTTTTTGGGATGCAAGAGGTATTATATACATTGATTACCTTGCAAAGGGTAATACTATCACTGGTCAATACTACGCAGACTTATTGCAACGTTTGAGCCACGAGGTGAAAATTAAACGACCTCATCTGGCGAAGAAAAAAATCTTGTTTCATCACGATAACGCACCAGCGCACACGTCAATCGTTGCGACGGCTAAAATCAACGATCTAAAGTTTGAATTGATGCCGCACCCTCCTTACTCTCCAGACCTAGCCCCGAGTGACTATTTTCTGTTCCCTAATCTCAAAAAATGGCTTGGCGGTAAGAGATTTGCGGACAATGAAGAAGTAATCGAAGCTGTAAATGGTTATTTTGAGGAGCTTGACGAATCAGTCTATAGAGATGGCATTAATAGACTGGAACACCGCTATGAGAAATGTATCAGCCTTGGAGGAGATTATGTTGAGAAATAAAAAAAAAAAATTTTTAAAAACCTTGTTTTTCTTGGTCAGGCCGGAAACTTATCAATCCACCCTCGTAGTATCAAAAAATATATTAGATATCTACAATTACACGCATTTTTGAAGTATATCAGTTTAACATTTTGGCTTTGCACTTATTTTAAAAATTTGACCACGAGAATTTCTTGGCAGCGATTCTAATAAGAGACGAAAAATGAAAATATGATATTTATAAATACCCTACAAAAGAGCGTGCGGCATTTTAAAGTTACGATACTGTAGTAACGTACGCATTCAAAGGCGTATCTAGAAGATTTTAAAACAAAATTGAATTTATTGCAGTCAGAAAGCTAAGTAGTACCTATGTGCAACCGATAATTTTGCCTTTGAAATGTTACTTTATTGCCTCTTGGAAGCGCTCCTTAATGCATAAAAATTCTTGGATACGTTTCTGTTACAGTACTTAACATAAAACAAAATTTAAGGATTCACGTGATCATTTACTTAGTTACTTAATGTCTAATACAATGTGTTTTGAAAATAAGTCGAAGAATTTGACAAGCTGACATTTTTGTTTCACTCTTACCATTAAGAAGCTGTTCCAAGTAGACACATCGACTTTTTAAATAATTTCCTTCGTGAATTTGACCCAAATTTGAATCCAAAGAATCGCCCTTTTCACTCGGTGTAGCAGACATCAGACTTAATTTCATAGATAACTCCTCAACATCTGCAACCAAAAAATTCCCTTTTAATAGTTTTTAACGAAACAATTTTTGACGCGAAAGTTTCTATCTCCATCACAATAATAAAAGAACTAGACATCCTAATTCTTAAGATAAAGCTGTTACAGAAGACATACAGTTTAATATAATATATAATTATTCCATCAATTAACATTTCGATCGGTGGTGCATTAGGTATGAAAGATTCCAGAGATAATTTATAAAAGAGAGGATGGCGTTAGATTTAGATCGCTTAGGTCCCAGGGGCTTCCACAAGGTTGATAAATCGGCCCTCTCTTTGACCACTACAGACTGACGGTGCGTGTACGTATCAATAAAAAGTTTCGAAATTTAAAACCGTGAACCAACACCTTATTTCACGTACCATTTAGTATTCCACTGCGTACCTATTACAAGAAATATTTTCAGTTGCTTCCAATTTACGAAGAACGCGGTCCACCTTTTAAAGCGCTTTTTGTAGGACCATAATAACCGTACTTTTACTCTACGCTTTGCATCAATAACTAAGTAGGTGAACTTACAAAAAATGTATCTAATGTTACTGTTCCCCAAAGGGTGTGGCGCCAGTTAAAAATTAACTGTGAAATAATTTTTTACTCGCCTATAAACGACCTCAGGAGATTGTTTTACTTTTATAGTTCCATTTCGTCAGAAACGTCGATGAGTTAGTTTAAAAGTTTAAAACCCTTAGGTGCTTTTAGTTCCCCCTAGGATGAAAGACACGTTTATCGTTGAAGTAAAACGTTATTGCAGCGTCGGAAACAAGAAACACCTTGTACAGGCCGGGCTATTTAAAGCAACAAGGTTTTTTCGTTCTATAAATCTTCGCAAATAAATTTTATTGGCATCGGTACGCGTCTCTCTGTAAATTACAGGAGAAACAATGCTGCCAATAGAGATCGACAGTTGATTTGTTAACTCGGAAGGTGTAAAAAAGAAGCATTAACTGCGAAAAATAAAATAAACCTTTGCCAATGTAAACCGCATAACTCACCTTTTTATTATTCTCTGACATGATCTGTAAATGGTACGGACGGTTTACAGAGGTAAAACTGTATAATCTCGTTGTTAAAATTGACGTACACAAGATGCGATTTGTAAACGTTTCAGTCACAAACAATAAAAAGTTAATTTCGTTTCAGAATTAACTTTTAATGTTAAATTAGTTTTATGCAACCCTACAACCTCTTCAGTTACAAAAGTAGCATTCACAGTGGTTATTATAAAGCTCTAAATAAGAATAAAATTATTGTTGTAACGACTCTGCGGCCTTTGACGTATACTTTAACAATTATAGTATTGACTTTCTTTATGTTTTTAGAAAATAAGCCCACTTTTAGCGAGATATAAGCCCACAAGGTGAGTGCAGAAAAGGTAGGCGACCCACATTACAACTATCATAAAAGCAAAGGAATTACCTACACATAAGTAGATATAAGTAGATAATAACTGGCTTGTTTATACATATTAAAATTATATCTAAACCTACTAAATACCCAAATAAGGAATACAGGAGTATATCTGAATCCCAAAATACAACAGCAGGAGCTTTTACGACATTTAAACTGCTTGGCTGTTAATTATGTTCCGAAGCTCTCAAAGTGTCGTAAAATAAAATTTTCTGTTTTGAAAGAAATAGAACCAGCCTGCTACCATAAAACTTAGTTCCGCTTATAAAAAGAATAGAAGCTGATCAAGGTGTTTATTTTAAGATACACGTCCAAGCTACAGCAGCTTACTACTTTAACTGAAATGAGAAAAACAGGCATAACAAAAACTGACTCGGTCAGATAATTGTAGGATACATATTACATATTTGGTACCTATTTTCATTTTTGATTTGAATTTCCATATTCTTGTACCTAACGTATAAGAGTGATCCTTTTTTTGTTCACGTTGAGCGTCCTACCATTTAATTTTCTTGATGGTACGTGTTAAAATAGACACTAGGCAGTAGTAAACTGAAATAAACAACAGACAAAACAACGACTAAACAACATCTCTCCAGCCAATACGACTGGGGAAGTACCAAATATCATCACGATAAGGTCATCAGCCCTATGAGTGATTTGATACCCACCTCCACTCGTTCCTATCTTACTTAACCATTTGCGAACAGTAATCTAATCTAGTTCTACCTCTACTTCTCTTAACTCCTGTTTCTTCATCTAACATATCTCTGACTAGTCCTTCATGCCTGAGAATGTGTCCTACCAACCTATCTCGCCTATTTCATACCAAATATCATCATCATTATAAGGTCGTTAGTCCTAAGACTGGTTGGACACGCACCTTCACTCTTTCCTACCAATTAATTTAATAGTTAGGACCAATGTAATAGAAATTTGTTTCTAATAAGGGAAAACTTAGTTTATTCACGGTATACGGTACCTAGCATGGTGAATATGATATTATGCGTTATGCGATGTTCACTCTATCGGGGGTTTACTGTATTTCTAAAGTTGCTAAAGCATCCAACATAAAATTCGAGAAGAAAATTGAATATATAAACATGTACATCGGTATTTCTACGAATTTGTGTTGAAACGTTGTTTTAGCGTACTCCACTTTAACTTTAATGGATTCTTTTTGATTTTGAAATAAATTTATCACTTGGTCCAACTGGCTGAAGTGTATATGTAGATTAGCAGAGAGGTTCGTTCGCAATCGACTATCTTAACCATATGTTCAAGAGTTCGAATGCCAATTTAGCTTGTATCAGATTCATGTAAATCACTAAATTAATTTCATGAACCACTGAAACTATACCGGAAAGGTTAAAATTAGTTGCGTGGGCAAGCCAAAAATCGAGCTATTTTCAGAGAAGCAATTACATCAGGAATTCAAATCTATATGCGCTGATGCATCCAATAAATGCGCATTCATACTTAGAAGTCCAATCGATAATTTTCAACTTTTTAACTTACTTAAAGAAGGATAATGTTCAGGCAAATTTCACGCAAAGAAAAACGATTAATTAATAACAAGTTCTTCCCCCTTATCAGTCGCTGTGAGCTCGAAACTGTTCGAAAAATTCACTTTTGTGAACAATTTGTTTAATCACTTTCTTTGTGTTAAAAATTGTTTGAAAAATTAAATTCAAAAAAATTGTTTGTAAATAGGTATGCAACACATCGTACACTTCAGCATAAGAAATTGCTGATACTAACTACGTAAATAGTCCGGGATCTTCCAGTTTCGTTTACAGATACGTAAAATCCTCCGCCTACAGGAACTTGTACTGCTATAATTACGCTGGTCCAACATAAATATAATGGCGTCGACCTCTTTTTTTAATACGCGTACGTTTAATTTCCTCAAATAGAGCACCGTCAATATTTGTTCGGAACTCAATTGAACGGCGTCGTTAAGTACGCGCAAGGTACAACACGCATACATCAAAGGGGGATATTAAAAAAAGTTGTAAATTATGCTGTAGGAAAACCAGAAATGTTTACCTTCATAAAAAAATTAATAAAGCAGACTTTTTCGGTTTATGTAATATTTCATTCGTAGAAGCCTTCATAAGGATTTACGGTTAATAACACAAAATGATCTCTTTTTTCAGCTTAAAACCAAACACGTCTGCATCAATATGCTGCAGGCTTTCAACATTCATGAAAAGTTTGGATTTCGATGTGAGATACGTGAATAGATAGACATTTTAAATACATTACGTTAAGCATGTTTCTATCTCTAAATAAAAAAGTATTGAATTATGTTAAGTGTATTCAATTCCGACAGTATTTAATGAAATCAAGCTTTTCATGAATCAGACAGTTATACCAAAGATTTCCATGTTCGTATTAGTCACAAGCGAGAGGGGTATTGACGAAACAGTACTGTATGAAAATAAATAAAAGTAAAACAAAAATACTGATATGCAAGGGAAGAAAAAATAGGGAAAGAGCGAATATAATGATAGGAAACGAAAAATTAGAAGAAGTGGCCGATTTTAGGTATCTAGGAAGTCAGATAAGTCAGAACAGAAGGAGTAGTAGGGATATAAAGCAGAGGATAGCGCAAGGTCGAGTCGCCTTCAATAAAAAGAAGTCACTTCTATGCTCGCTAACGATTAATTTAGAAATTCGAAAAAGGTTGTTAAAGATGTATGTTTAAAGCACGGCGCTGTATGAGTGCGAAACATAGACAGTGAGCGCGGCGGAAAAGAAAAGGTTAGAAGCATTCAAAATGTGGTGTTACAGGCGAATGATGAGGATACAGTGGATAGAGAAGGTTAGAAATGAAGAGACATACAAGGAATAGGAGAACAGAGGACTCTATGGAAGTCAATAAAAATAGGCGAGATAGGTTAGTAGGACACCTTCTCAGGCATGAAGGTCTAGTTGGAGACATATTAGAGGCAGAAACGGAAGTTAGGAGGGGTAGAGGTAGATCTAGATTAGATTACTGTTCGCAAATAGTTAAGGTTATGGGTAATGCGAAGATTAGCTCAGGATAGGAAAGAGTAGAGGTGCGTGTCCAACCAGTCTTAGAACTGACGACCTTATGATGATGATTAGTCACAACACTATTAAATAATAATAAAATGGTCAAGAAAACAATGATAAAAAGACAAATGATAAAAATGCAGAATATACATATGTATATTTACGAGTAAATCTATTGATCAAACGATCGATTAGCACAAGATACTTTTGTACTACATTTTTGTAGTTGAATGATACCCAAATTAATTTTATTATCTTATTTCAGGTCCATTAGCTGACCTGAGGCATCTTTGGTAAGTGATATTACTACTTTATTTATTTATCTTGTGCAGGCATCTATACCACAGACAGTAATTAAAACTTAATTTCATGGCGAATTTATTGGGAAGGAGCAAATTTTTATTGGAAGCGTGATATCTGTTTTGATTGCATAATCAAATCAATTTTAGTAGGCTCTTACGTAAGTTCCAAATTATAACATGTGTACTTGTTTCTTACACTTTAAGCATTAACAATGACTTAACTAATTATAA